CAGTATCAAACTTGTTAAAGAAATTATTGAGTCTCTTTCACAGATGCAGTCAGAGTTCAAGAAGTTATGCAACTTGTTGAAGCTATCTCCTTAAGAAGGAGCTGAATGGTATTGAAACCCAGTTCTTGATTCCGGGGCACACCTCCTTCTGCTTCCAGAGCTTTGGCGCCTGTCATTTCTACCTTCTCTATGGCCTATAACCACTGTAGTTTCCCCTGGATTGCATATGCACGTTAGTAAAACTCTTGTGTCTAAGTCAAGAGAACAAATTTGAACAAGTTTTAGCAAGAAGGGAATTTATAAAGATGGAGGCCTCACAAAATCCAGGGAAAATGCAAATGGGCCTTAGGAATAAACAAAGGTATATACTTTGATATACCCAGGATTCACTTCTCCTCTTCTAACTCTATCCCAAATTCTCTGGGAAAGTACATGAAAGGTGGTCTCATACAGCTAAAACAATAAAGTACAGGACGTAGTAGCAAAGGAGTGCACAGAGACAACTCAGTAGTTTACCCATAATGCTCTTCTTGGTTGCTCTAGAAACATTATGCCATTCTCCCATATATACAATTAGAAACATGCCTACCTCAACCAAATCCATGGATAATTGTAAGTCATAAGCAACTACTAGTCCAGATATAATGGCATCACGTGGACATACTCCTTCTTCCTCTAGTTCGGTTACAATAAAATGTAGCTCCTTGTAATCTTGCAATCTCTGATAAATGTAGCTTCCACCAATAGATTAATATGTAACAGTATAGAAATAAATGCAATCAAAATTCCCTTTCAGGGAAGGAGAAGTCACACATTGATCCATCACTAGATCTGAGAATGTACCTTTTCACCTGGATGGGGATAATGGAAATAAATCACAGGTATATGAAAACCCATGGGAGTCATTTGCTTATCATTTTCTTACTTAACCAGGCTGTATTTAGGCTGGGATTATGCTCAAAATGAGGTTCTTAAATTTGGAAATGTGTTTGAATCTCCCAGAGGCTAGAGGGGTCTGCAAAATGCACAAGTACATTCCTTTCATACCCCTGCTCTAAGAGATTTGACCTAATTAACAAGGCCTCTAGCAACCCAAGGTCAAATCACTAGGAGAATTCAGTGTGCCATTCAGGAAAAACAGGGCTGATAGGAATTCTGTTTATTGTACCCCATAGCTGATCCACTTTAGAGTATTTACTAAAAGGGGCTTATAATTGTCCATCTTTCTTCTGTCCCTTAGAGATGTGTACATCTCTCATATACCTCAGGAGTGTCTTTCCTAAGGACCTGTGAGACATTCCTTGGAAACCTAATTGTCAGGAACAATAGGGCCTCTGTCTTTCTGTCGCTGTGTTGGTAGGATAGAAATCTAATTGCCAGCCAGCATGCACATTTGGTCTAATCACATTTATATTGATCAGACCTAATTTTTTTTACTTCCTTGATGCTATTCCACCCCCACCCCCATTTCCTCTTGTATTTCCTCATTCTCCCACTCATCTCTGTGCAAATGGAACCAAAGCTCAGCTCCTTCCCTTATCAGCAGTAAGTAGTTTGTGAATAAACTGTTTACAACACTTATGTCTGGCTTGGTTTATCTTTGACATTACTAAAATCACAGAGTTTTGGTCCTACACTCGGTGTCTCTAATGTTGGAAATCAAGCGTTGGGAATGAGAAAATCCTGTTTGGAACAATTCACAGGTTTTGCTGATGTGCTGGTCCAGAATTAGTACTCTGGATGATCAATTACGATCCTCATTTACCAGATGTGATTTTCTACTGACAAAAATACTCTAAATCTTTATTTGAATGTCTATTGGTTTCAGGTTGGGAGATCTTCCAGTAACAAGTGTTAATAACAGGTAGTGAAAATCTTGTTGTTAGTCTCCTTTCTCTTCCTTTCTTTTTTCCAGTGCTGGGGATGGAACTCCTTGTCTTGCGCATGCTAAGCGGGTCCTCTACCAATGTTGCAGCTTCTATTTCTTAGCACTCTAAGGATGCAGCTCATTCTCTGCCATTCTGCTCTTGAGCAGAGACCCACTAGGAAATAGTAAGCTGAGCTCAATGCTGCTTTGGTTTGTTTTTGTTAGTGGTGCTGAGGAATGGAAGCTGGTAAGGACTCTACCACTGAACTACATGCCCAGCCCCAGGGCTTCTGAGTCCCAGGAACAATAAATAACTGCTATACTGCCATGTCTTACAAAATGTCCACTCCCTTCCCATCAATGGAGGCTAGAGGACTCCCGTGTTTATCAGTTCCACATATTTAGGGTTTGTCATTTGCCACTCCTCATTCCTGGATTGGTTATTCTTTTTGTAACCAAATGTAATGAGCTCACGTGTTGGTGAGTGCAAAGACAAAACAAACAAACAAGCAAACAAGCACAGCCAAGACATAAAAGAGTGGAGAGAGATTTATTACTCAAAGCAGATGAGACCATGCGTGTCTCAACCAGCACGGCTTTGGGATTGACCTGACTGGGGCAACGGAGAAAGAAGAAATGACAGGGTGCATACCGAAAAGCTGGGACTGGGTGGGCCTTGCACTCTGATGGAGTGCCAGCAGCAACAGCCTGGTGACTCAGCACCTTTATCACGTACAGCAATAATGGGGAGGTCCATTAGCTAATCTGGGTAGGGGAATCTCTGTAGGGGAGCAGTCCCAGGCTGCAGTCAGTGGGGAGGAGGAAGCTGTGCTTGATACTTTCTGCACCTGCTCTCAGCATCATTCCCATGGGCCTGAGGCATTGGGGTCCTCGACCTGGCTGTACTTGTGTCATCAACGCTCATTCATACAGGGGACAATCTCTCCCCACACATGGGAGCTAATGCCTAAGCACTGCCTCCTTTGAACAAAGGAATGAGAGTTTAGAGAGCCTACAGAGTCATAGAGGAAAACACTTTAGCTTGGGCAATAACTGTGTGCATGCTCAGTTAAGGAGCATGGTCCCAAGTATGCTGTTTAAGATCATCTAAGAGGGAAAGATACAAATTTTAGACATAGCTCAAGTTCACAGAGTGTTAAAAGGGTTAAAATGGGGAAGAGGAATGTATCTGGGAATTCTCAGCTTTTATCATAAAGTGTTAGCTTAAAATAAAGGGAAGGAGACGTTGTGTTTATGCGTGTACAGGTGCACTTGTGTGTCTGGATGTGCATTCATTCATATGTGTACCTGTGAAAACCAGAGGGCAAAATTTGGATACCATTCTTTAGGAGTGCTCCACCTCAGTTTTTGACACAGGCTCTCTTATTGGTCTGACACTTATCAATTAGACTAGGCTGCCTGGCCACTGAGTCCCAGGAATCCACTTGTCTCTGCTTACCCAGCACTGGGGTTACAAGTGCACTGCATTGAGCCTGGCTTTTTGCTGTGGTCTCTGAGGACTGAACTCAGGTCCTCATGCTTGCAAAGGAAATGTTTTGACCAGAGAGCCATCTCACCAGCACAGAAAGGATGCTTTGAAGGTAGATTAATATAGAAGTTTGCCTCTAACGGTGTCTCATTTGTGGCTAACATTTTCATAAATGGCTGATGATTCAATTCTTTTTGTGGTTTTGGGGGTTTATTTTTTTTCATTTTTTGTTTTGTTTCATTCATATCCCTGACTGAACTGGAAAACATAAGCTTCAAAGTTGTGGCAATCCTTCTGCCTCAACCTTCCAAATGTTGAGTTTACAGCTGTAAGCCACCACACCAGGTAGAATATGGCATTATAAGAATATGTGAACATGATAGTATTTGTTTACTTTCTTGGTTCCTGGAAATCACTAGGTAGCCTCAGCTGGCCTGGATCTTAAGGGGACTGTCCTGTTTCAACCTCCTGAGTACTGGGGTTGCAGGCACATACCACCATGCGTAAGACGACAGTTTTTGTTTTTGCTGTAACCTTTTTAATTAACGAGAGGGCCAACTTCTAGGAAAGGGATGCTGGGCAAACTCTCTAGTAAGCACCTTTTACTAAACCTCCATTCTGTCATCCCTTCCGGCTACTGCCCTTCCTTTCACTTTGATTCACCATCCCTACCATTCTGGATCCACTACTCTAATTCCTTTCCAGGATTTGTAGCTTGTTTGTATTTTCACCCTAACAGACAATTCTGACGTCATTCATCACAATCACTTCTGGACTCTGCACTTTCATGTTCTGTCGGTTACGTTTCAGCAAATTCTAAGCCAGATGAGACTATTCTTCAATGCAGATCTTATTTTCTGCTGTATTCTGGCTGAAGGGGCGGGCCCTAAAAGCTTGACAGCAGACAGACACTACATGGATTTCATTGGGGAAACATGCTGCAAACATATTTTTCAAAAGATTGTGAACAAATTAGAACCCTTGCAGCTATTTTGAATTGCTCCCACATGGGCAAATTCACTAGGTTTGAAAGCAAATCCCCTAACCATATGGCATAGCTTAGTGAGTACCAATAAGGTCCAGGTTGTAGTTCAATTTGTGTGGATGTTTTATCTCCCTGACTAGAGATCCTGGGGGCAAATTATAGGCAATTTCATTTTGTCTGTTCATTGTCTTAGGTAAATCTTTTACCATTCCTAAGGGAGACAACTTCGAAAAATGACAGTAGCTAAAAACAATAGTAATGGTTGTTATGTTTCATGTGTGTTCTTGTCCATTCATTTAGAGTTATGGCATGTCATCTTTTCTATGAAAGGGAAAATTCTCCCTCTCAGGGAACTTTAGCTCACTTTAGCCAAATTCAATCAATCCACTGTACTTCCTTTCCCATGATGCATCACCTCCATTTCTTTCCCTGGGAATGGCAGTATAATTTCCTGAGGCAACTCGGTTGGATACTAGGCGTTCTGGTGCAAATCCTATACACACATTTTCACGTCCTGCTTCTTCTGACGTTGTGCACATCAAGGCCTGACATGGGTGGCCATCAGGTTCTTCCACTGCATCCTGAGGCCATCCGGGAAAAGACTACAACTCCCAGGATGCCCATCCGCCCCGCCCCGCCCCGATTCCCCTCCCCCAGCTAGAAAGCGAGTATCACAGAGAAGACGAGGCAACATGGCTCCCGGAGGTGGAAGGCAGAAGCTTCACCCTCTTTGAAGCAGTGAAGAAGAGCAGCGGAGGGGAACGGAAAAAAGAGAAGTGACTACGAATTGTCGTCGCTTTTATCTTCCCAGCCTCTTCTGGGTCTGGTCAGCCTCACCTCTGCTCTCCACCCGCACCCAGTCTGTGGTCTCCTCCCCTCCCCGCCCACGTTCCCTCGCCCCTCCCGTCGCGAACCCTTTCCCCGCCCCCCCTCGCCCCTACCCCCCGCGGAGTGCGCACGCGCCCGCCTCCAGCTTCGCGCGGGGATCGCCGACTGGCCCGCTTGCGCAGCCGCTGTTCCTTCTGCCCACGGAGGAAGCATGGGCGTCCAGGGCTTCCAAGAGTTCCTGGAGAAGCGCTGTCCCGGGGCTGTGGTGCCTGTGGACCTCCTCAAACTCGCGCGCACCGTCTCGCGCCAGCAGCAGCAGCAGCACCTGCACCGCCAGCTGCCGCCGGCAGCCCTAGCGCCGGGGGCTCCACGCATCACCAGGGGCTCCGCTCCTCTGCCGCCGCCGCTCCCGCCCGCCGCCTTTGGCCCTTACTCCGGGGGCCCGGGGCCGACTCGGCACCATCACCCTGCTCACCATTTCCACCATCACGGCCAAGCGCCGCCAGGGCTGCATCCGCCGCCGCCCCCTCCGCTGCCTGGGGCTCGGGTATTGGTAGACGCGGGCTCGGCGCTGCCGCGGCTCTATGGTGGCTACCAGACGGATTGGGTTTGTGGCGGCCAGTGGAATGCCATGCTGGGCTACTTGTCAGCGCTGTGCCAGGCTTGTGCCTATCCGGGCGGCGACGGCCTGGAGCTGGTGGTCATGTTCCCTGGGGGCCTGGGGAAAGACCGACTGGCCGAATGGGGCCGTCGGTGCCAGGCGGAGCGGCAGACTGCGCAACTGATCGTGGGACACGTGGGCAACAAGGGCACCCCTCCACCGCGGGCCTGGTTCCTGCCACCTGCCTGCCTGAGCCACTGCGTGAGGCTAGCACTCATCCGCTTCCGGGTCAAGGTGAGGGAGGGGTCAGATTTTAAATGAAATGTCCCACACCTGTTCCTTCCAGACTAAACACCTAACCATTTACTGAATTACCTGCCACTCACTCAATCAGCTAACCTGCTGGCGACCATTTTATCCACCTGTGCCCCCTTCACATGGCCTCTTACCAATTCACTTACCCTACATGGCTCTATCTCTATCCATGTCATCATAGTAACCCCCTTTATATTTACTTACCCAATTGGCCTACCTGTTGGTTTTAGCAGAATTGACTCACAATTTCTTTGGGGCTTCATGTCTCTCTTGCTGTCATCTCCCTCAAACTGAAATATGTTTTTTTCCCTTCATTTTCCAGTTGACATCCCCCCCCCCATATGTCTTTTCAACCTCATGGCAAATAAAACAGATGTTAGTGGAACATCTTTCTTCGATAGTTCCCCCCATTTGACCTAAAGCTGCTTTTTTACCCTTCCATTGAATCCTTTTCATTTCAGCATGCTTTTAGCTTGGCATGCCTTAGCCCAAACAATCAATCCACTGATTGAGTCACTGTTCAGGAAGATGAACATGCTGAACGGGGGGTTTCAAAGACTGGGGGCTGAGCCACTGTTCCTGTCCTTGGAAGATCAAATATGGAATATTTATTTCATGGTGTAAATATGTGTGGTGACTATGCTTTCTGGTATAGACAGTAAGTACAGTACCTGTTTGGATAGGTGGGTGGGGTGATATCTGTGGGCTAAAATGGTCCAGGGAAACTTCCTGAAGATGACAGACCTTACCTACGTCTGTCAGAACTGGCTGGATTCGAATGGTTCACGGGTTTTGGAGGAGGTTGGTTTTTTTTTTTTTTTTTTTCTTTTTTGGTTTTTCGAGACAGGGTTTCTCTGTGTAGCTTTGCGCCTTTCCTGGGACTCACTTGGTAGCCCAGGCTGGCCTCGAACTCACAGAGATCCGCCTGGCTCTGCCTCCCGAGTGCTGGGATTAAAGGCGTGCGCCACCACCGCCCGGCCGGAGGAGGTTGTTTTAAATAAAGAAATCGAGCAGAAGCAAAAAGAAATACCAAGTGTGTGAGGCCCCATGGGCTGAAATGTAAGTCCAGTCTGTGAGTAAGTCGGGCCGCTGCATATGGAGCTTGGGGAAAGCTTGGCAGCATCCCCGGGTCTTGGCACCACTGCTATTACGCTGTTGCTTTCCCATACTCTTAGGTTTCAAGTTCCTACGTGTAGAGAATAGCAAGGCTTGAGAAGTAAGGAGGTGGGCAGGAAAAAGACAGAAAAGCAGCGCGGGCTTAGGTAGGAGAAACTGCACACTCATTTCTCAGCCAGAGTTCTGGGGGATGGCCTCTCAGGATTGGGGGTTTGGGAATTCAGAAACTAAACAGGTGGCAGCTGGTGGAGTAAGGAGGAAATGGAGACGGAAAGATCTGCTACGTAGAGACGTTTGCAGTGGTAATAGAATGTGACTGGAATCCTATGATGCTAGACATGTAGTGCTCAGCATCAAATCTGTGCCTAGGCGTCATGGATTAGAGCTTTTTTAATTTGAAAAGCCAGTAATGGGCTGGAGAAAACTCAGGGGTAGAATGTCATTACTAACCAGGAGACCCTTGCTTCAGTCTCCTAACACTGCATGCAAAAAAAAAAAAATCTAATCAGGAGCTGACTTAAAATATAACTGTAACAAAACCCCACTTGCCTGTTCTCCTGACTGAACATTTCAAAGCAGATTCATTTACAGTCATTCCTTCCAAAATGTTTTTAATGGCACCACCCAGGCTTTAAGGGATTTTTTTTTTACCCCATTATTATTTTTTTTTAATCTTGCTGCTGCTGGCACAAGTGATGACTATGTTAGTGGAGCAGGTTCTTTTCCTTCTTTTTTTCAGGGGGTGGGGCTTTGTTAAGGACGTGCTTTGCTGTTGGACTACACCTGCAGCCTTTAGGTTCTTTAAAACAATTACCTCATTGGATCTTTACAGTAACTCATGAAGCAGTATTACCCCTGTTTTCCAAATGGGGGAACTCGGCAGACCCAGGAGCTTTACACATTTGCCCAGAGATAACCTAGTAATAAACGATAGAGCTGGGATTCTGGGATTTACGTCCATGTAGTCTGACTCCACAGCTTGTGTTCTTAACAACAGTGTTCAAAGATGAATCTTTCTGAAGAGGCACTGTGGTTAGATTGTTTCCACACTGGAAGAAATACCTCACAGGCACCTGGATAAAAGCAGATTCGGCTTATCCATTTGTGTTATTGCTTTACTGAGTGCTTGCTAGTTAGTAAGTACTGTGCTGGGTGCAGAAAATTCTCCAGGAGGTCAGGGTTTAGTAAACACTGAAAACAAAATCCAAATACTCTATGCTAATTCCACTTGATGAAAACTGTGGCCTATTTGCAGGGGCATGGTAATTTCTTAGTGAGTGAGTAAAATTTGGGAGTACCTTTACAGATTGGCTGGCCATGAAGGGGTTTAAGATATAAAAACAATGCTGCTTTTTTTTTTTACCTATCCATTGAATCCTTTTCATTTCAGCATGCTTTTAGCTTGTCATGCCTTAGCCCAAACAAACAATCCACTGAGAATGGACAAGGGTATGGAGGCCTAAAGCAGCTTGTTTGAGAGCTCTGAGTAGGTACCTGTTTATTATATTTACAAATATTATTTGCTGAATAGGTTTTGACTGATGATTGGCAAGAGAGAGGAACACTGTAGGTTTGTGGTTTATATTCTCCACCAGTCAAAAATTTTGAGATCCAACTGTAAGTGTATTTTGTCATATTTATCACAGTTTTTTTTTTGAAGACAAGTTCTCATGTATTCCAGGCTATCCTTGAATTCGATGTATAGCCAAGACTGACTTCAAATTCTTCCTGATTGTCCTGCCTCTACCTCTAAAGTGCTGGCAACACAAGAGTGCACCATCACACTTGGCGCAGTCTCAGTTTTTAAAAATCTCAGCAGCGGTCATGGGCAGTCATGTATGCCTGTATAATTCCAGCAACTCAGGAGGCTGAGGCAGGAGGATGGCTCGAGCCTTGGAGTTTGAGGTCAAGCTGGTAATATAGTGAGACACTCTCTGTAAGCAAATATCCCAGCAATACATAAACATGATGGCTTGAATAGATCCTAAGAGACTGTAGGAGTGACTTCTAAAAAGGTGACACACACCTCATCCCGGTATTCAGGGAGCCTGAGGCAGTTCTGAGCTGCATAGTGAGACACATCTCAGAAAAACAAGTGAAGAGCATGTACCCCTCTCAGAGAGGACCTGAGTTCAGTGCCCAGCACCCATAATGGGTGGTTTGTAACTAACTCCAGCTCTGGGGATCTGGATACTGTGAGCACACACACAAACAAAAATGTGTAAACAGTGACTTAAGACTGACTCTGGAATTGTGTAAATAATGTTGATGCTCTTATTTCTCTGGGCTGTGGTCAGCAACTCTTTTGTTGTTGGCATGATGAAGAATGTCTTGAACTGTGCAGATAGGAAAGAGTATGGGTCAATAACTAACTGTTCATTGCCTTTTCAGAGCTGCATTCTGTCTTGAAGGTGGCAATTTTTCCCATGGGTGATTTGCATGTGGAGCATTTCTTTTGTTTGAATACTAGTGCTTCAGAACAAAAACTGGATCTCTATTGTGCCTTGGTTTTGTTCTTTAGTTTAGCAGTCAAGATGAGCCTTTATTTTTAGTCTCATTTTCATTTTTAATAGAGAATATAGAAGTGGCAGGATTAAATACTTGCTAAGGTGCTGGGTTGTCTGTTTAGCTTTAGGCGAACTTGGACTTTATAAAAATTTTGGTGTCTATTGTTGACATGATGTTTCTGATTTGGTTTGTCATAATTATTTGCTCAGTATACCTTTGTAAGTGAAAACAACCAGTAGCAAGAAAATTTAGTAACTCCCAAGTTCCTGGCCCACTCTCTTCCAAAGGGTCTCAGAAATAGAGCAACATAAAGTAGGGTTAGACTGTGATTTGGGAGATGATGTGGTGTGATGCAGACGAATGGAGGCTTTATTTAATGATTATTATAAATGAGCAAAAAAAAAAAAAAAAAACACCCCAGCACATAAAGCCCTCCGCTTCAAGGCTGTCTGAGAAGGACGCTGAGTGGGTTGATGGAATGGAAAAGGTTTGCTTGTCGGAAATCATATTGGTGGTACATGAATAACCAGACTTTGAGAAATCTGACTGGGTGCAGGGGCCATTTGTGCTCTCCTCCTTCAGGAGGAAATGGCTGATGTGCCTCCTGATTACTAATCCTATCATCCAGACACTGAAAAGTCCACGGTACTTCTAGGTGGGAAATGAGCATGAGAGTACTCACTGTCACTTCTTGAGCACCAAGTTGAGTATAAAATGCTTTAAACACAGTGTCTTGTTTAATCCTCACGGCTTTGCAAGATGCACTTTATCCTCCCCATTTTACAATTAAATAACTTAAATGCAAAGAGGTAAAATGGAGGTTGGGGCTATAATATAGCTCAGTGTTGAACAAGGAAGATCCTGGGTTCAGTCTCCAGGGTCAAAGCCAAACCAAACCAAACATATTTTGGTGCTGTGGATTAGCACCTCTGCATGGTTGGTACATACTGTACCACTGAACCCAGGTCCGGTAATTTTCTTTTGGGGAAGGAGGTAGGCTCTGGTAAGTGAGCTATAAAAATCATGAGAGCTCTACTGTATAGTCTCTGCAGAATCCCACGACATTGTCTTTTTGAACATCTTTTTTGTGTAAGGTTGTGTACTTTTATTGACGAAGTGCAGAGAAACAGTAAGGATTGTTGAGCATTGCATTTGTGCCAGCAATGCTGAAATCCACAGTCCTGCCAATACAAGACAAATGTGCTAGCTAATTGCCAAGTGAGTCACACAGTGATGTTTAGGAATTCAGAAGTAGCAATCTCTTTCTGTGCACAAATAATTGGTCTGTGCACAAATAATTGGTGTGTGTGTGTGTGTGTGTGTGTGTGTGTGTGTGTGTGTGTATATGTGTGTGT